TTGTTCGCAATTACACGGATAAACAAGGATAACAGCTAAGGAAAAACGGGGCGACACTTAGGCAGAGCCAGCGTTGGGCTGCTCGTCCTCCTTGCTTGACTTGCGACGCACCAAGGGGCTCTCCTCTTCCTCATCCTCGTCTTCATCGGCCACCTCGCCATCCCTCCGGGCGCCTGAAGCCTCCTCCCCGTCCGGACGATCTACCTCCTCCCGGCGCTCCCCTTCTTCCTCCTCCTCTTCCTCGGATTCGGAGTCAGAATCCAAAGGACGCTTCCCGCCGATCCAAGACTTGACGTGCTGGACCATCTCGCGAGTATCCCAGTGCATCCCTGGATTCTCGGGGCGAACCTTCTTGCCGACCGCTATCACGGCCTTGGTCATGGCATCCGCCATGATCTTCCCGAAAGGTTGGGAAGACTTGAACTGGCGGACAGCCGCGACCTCAGCTGCGCGAACGGCCTCAGCCTTCGCGACGGTATGAAGGCGGACAAGGTCGTCCTTCTCCTTCTGGAAGTCCTCGCGAGCCTTGCGTAGCTTCTCAGAGAAGGAGGCTTCCAATTCTTCCCGGAGGGCGGAGCGCTCTTCGTTCCGCACCTTCTCTTTAGCCGCTTCCACATCCGCGGCCAACCGGCTCTGCAAGAGGCCGAGCGACTCCAATGCCTCATTGGCCTTGGACGTCGCGTCTTCGGCCCGGTTGTTTGCCCCCAGCACCTTCCCCTCCAGCTGCACGATCTGCGCCTCGTCAGCCTTCATCTTCGCGCGCATCGCGGCGCGCTCCTGCTGCGCTCGGAATGTCGCCGACAGACCCTACGACGCCACGAGCCTTAGCCAAATGCGATAGCAATAAAAGGGAAAACGGAAGAGAAGAGAAGAAGGTAAAACCTAAACTACGGGGGTCTAACTAGGACTTACCGCGAAGTGGATCTGCGCCAGATCATGGAGGGGGTCTGTCTCCTTCACCCGCGGAGGAACGGTGAGAACGGGCCCGATCGCCCGGAGCGCATGGTTGGCGGAGACCAGGTTGCACGCCGCCGCGGTATGGATCCGCACGTCTCGGACTTGGTGGACGGCGGCGGTAGCGGGAGTAGCACTGGCGGGGGCAACATTGGCGGTTGCTCCGGAGGAGCTGCTCGCCCCACTCCCATCCCGACGACCGGGTCTGGTCACCGTCGCCTCCGGCTGGGACAACGCTAAGGACAGCTGCTGCGCGGCGGTCAGCTGCGGCGCGGCAGGTGTCTGCTTCACCGCCAGAGGAGTCGGCTCCGTGATGCGAATCGTTTTGCGGGGCCTCTCGACAGCCTGCGCGGGCGGCTGCTCAATATCCTTCCGCTTCGAAGCTTTAGGCGCCGCGACGTTCTTCTTCTTCTTCTTCTTGTCAGCGCGGGGCGCGACGTCGTCCACCGACATCATACTGGCGATGTTGGAGAAATCAACACCTGCGCCAATAAGTCGTAAGAGAGCGGTTAATAAGATAGAATACAAAGGAAAGAAAACACAACTAACCATCCCCAAACAGCTCCTCCAAGCAGGCCTCGCGGACTCCCTTGGCGTATAAATTGATGCGATGAGGCATGCAAGCCTCATACTCGTCGTTCAGCCCGACATAGAACCCGACGTCCGACTCGAACCCATGTGTACTGCCCTTCTCCCAGGTGGTGGGCTCCGCCATGGTCCCGCTAGCCCATTGCCCGGGGGTAGGCTTAACATAGAAGAATTCCTCGAACCAGGTTTTCTTCAGCTTGGGCGAGCCATACACAAAACCATCGGGGCGGTGGTCGCGCCGCATGATGGAGAGACAGTCGCTCACCCTGGTGGGCTCCTTGATTTTGTACATCTTCCTGAACAGGCCATACATAGGCTCGATGTTGAGCCTTTTGCACGCGAGACGGAGGCAGCTCGCGTGCATGATGACTGAAGGAGAGAGCCGCCCGACGGAGCACTTGAGGCGCTCATAGATCGCGCACAACAGCGGATCGATGGGGAACTTGAACCCCATCACCCAGTACTCCGTGTACACGCCGAACCAACCAGGGGGGCAATTGCCCACCATGCTGCGCACCGACGGCGCAGCGTACTCCCAATGGGGGGGCAAGCCCAGCCCGCGGACCAACTCCTCCACGTCGTCCACGTCGTATGTTGAGGAGTGCTCGGGTCCGCGCTTAAGGTTGTCCGAGGGCGCCGGCTGATCGCCCCACATCTCGGCCCACTCGATCACACGGTAGGTCGCGCCGACGCCTTGCGGCCCCAGACGGGCGAAAGATTCGGAAACGCGCTCAATGGCGCGCGGCGCGAATTGTGCAGCGATATCTCCTTGCGCCATCTCGTCCGCGGCCTCATCATCGACGACTTCATCGTCGGTAACCTCATCGTCGATAACTTCATCGGCCCCTACCGGTCGACCACCCGGAGTACGCCGGATGATCATCACTCCTCGAGCCTGCTGCATGGCTTCCCCACTGCCGGAGGGAATATCACCCACGTCGGAGGAGCTTCCGACACCGTCGCCGGACCTGGCATCGTATGACGGCGTCGCCGGAATCCCACCGTCACCACCGTCACGTCCGCCGCCAGACCCGTCATCCCAACCCCCAGAACCACCGTCCCCGTCACCGGAACGGTCAGAAGAAGTGTGCGAGAGAGGGGAGAAATTACCTTCTTCGCCTTGCACGACCTCGGCCTCGTTGTTGTTGTTGACGCCGGACATGATGTCGACTAGAAACTTGGCAACAGTTAAGAAGGATCGAGGTTGCAGAAGGAGGAGAAAGAATCTCAGAGAAAGCAAATCTCAGTGAAAGCAAAGGAAAACAGAAATCAGAGGAAACAGATGAGTCCTTACTTCTCACAACAACCCATTCTTATAGTGGGTCGGAGGGAAAATAAAGGGCCAATAGGAATGCAAGGGGCCAATGTCGGCTAGCGGAAGGCGAAGGGTTAAAGCAACATAGGGATCCGTAACCGTCAGATCCTACCAAATCTTTTCGAAATTCAAAAATCCCCGCCCAAATAACCTAACCACACAATGACACGTGGACACCTACCAACATAGGCACTAGTCGGCGACGCCACGAGTGCCGCGCACCGCCTGGGGGGCAAGATATACCCGCGAGGAAAGAAAAACATGCTTCACGCAGCACCGGGTATCACGCGACGCGCGAGTGCGCGATGTGCCGCGGGCGCGCAAGACATACCCGCGAGGGTAGAAAAACATACTTCACGCAGTACCGGGTATCACGCGAGCGCGCGAAGTTCCCACACATCGCGCGCGTCGAGCCGAGCCCAATCGCGGGCGCGCGCCAGCAATCGCGCCGCTGCTTCATAATATCGCGCGCGCCTAAAAACCTAAACGCGAGCATGCGCGGGAGCCAACCGATCACGACGAGCGGAATAGACCCAAAAAACCAGCACCACGGAGACCACACAGGCCCGAGTCATTCAGGAAAAATCCAAACAGGAGGTGTTCGCAAAACACCCCCTGATGGGGGGCAATTGTTGGGCGTGTGACTCGGGCCTAGCCACGTCAGGGAGTGGGCGCGACTGGATGGACTCCGACATAGCAGCGCGAAGACCCCGAGCGCGACACCTCATCGTGGTCAACCATGTCCTGGCGCGAAGAGTTTGTGCGCGATACGAGTTACAGGCGCCGAGGAAGAGCATAGCGCAGGCCAAGCCAAGAGAGGAGGGAAGCGTAGCTTTACTCCCCAGGAAGTGGTCACATCAAGACCAGTGGCAAGTCTCTGACACGTCCTAGGTAGAGGGATGGCCTGGACAGAGCCTAAAATCCTTAGTATGTGCCAGTGGTCACATCGTTGTATCCCAATTGTCACATCTTGTATCCCCACTTGGGTCAACCACTCACCCACCACAATGAAGCCTATAAATACGGCATTTACTACGGTGGGTGAGGGGATCGCATTTTTCACCACTCTCTCTCTATAACAACTATTTCTCTTTCTAGAAACGGGACTCCCACTCTCACTCAACTTTCTGATCTTTACCCTCTCCGAGCAATCCCAACGCCTGTGTTTCTTCTTGACCCAAACCCTCACTCGGACCTCACTCCTACACTCAGTTAGGTTCAAACAAAAAGTGTTTATGTCTTCAAAGAGAAGTTACATCTTCAGTAACTTGTTTTAGATTGGAGTCAATATGATCTCCGTCTATTGTCTGGTCGTGATGAAGGGATACTGGAAATGCTCTGGCCACACCCTAATCTAAAGAAATTGACGATACATGGTAGTATTGCTTTTGGAGGTGTGAAGCTTCCTATCTGGTTGTCCAGTCTCTCAAATTTGGTTAAGTTCTCATTAAAAGATGGCCATCGATGTGAGTACCTCCCTGCTCAATTGCATCAAATGGCGAGCTTAAAGGAGCTTGAAATTAGCAATTGTCCAATGTTGAAGGGCATCAATAATGACTCAACAGCAAGATTAAGAACAGAGGAAGAGGAATGGCCGCAGTTTCGATCTCTTGCCCACTTGGACATTTGCCGTTGTCCAAGGCTAACTCGGCTGCCCACCTTCCCTACCGTCGAATATTTGAAGTTGTTCAAGGCGAGCTCGACACCTCTTGCTCGGACCATGAAGATGAAGATGAAGATGAGGAGAGGAGGAGGTGTTGATACAACTGTTTCTTCAGCCCTCGTCCACCCACTCTCCAAGGTGACCAAGTTGTCCTTAGCAACCATAGTTGATGATCTCGAATCCCTATCGCATCATGATTCAAGTAGTTGTCTCGTCTCTCTTCAGACGTTACATGTTGGAAACTGTCGAGCCGTGAAGCTACCTGGTTCGCTGTGTTCCAGTTCACATCTAATGGAGATCGTTTTATCGGATTGTGAAATGATAGAGTACATGCCACCCCTACATGAACTCCCACGGTTGAGGGAGCTAATTATTTTTGGATGTCCGAAGCTGAAGGGATGTTGGTGGAAGAAGACGAGCGGGAATAATGATAGTAACCATCATTGTGGTACTGATGATTATTATAACTTCGACCCTTCAATGGAAAGAGATGAAGAGGAAAAGGGAGATGAGCAGACTGAGGAGGAGTGGCCACATTTCCCTTGTCTGTCCAAATTAGATATTGAAGATTGCCCAAATCTGACTCGGGTACCTCTATTTCCAACCGTTGAAGGCAGGCTGGTGCTTGAAAGCTGCACAGAGGCACTAGTGCGGACAATGAAGATGGAACCAGTAGTAGCTGCTCATCATCATCATCATCATCTTGACTCTCAACAAAGTTCTTCTTCTTTGTTGCTGGGGACTGCCCTTGTCGCTCCGCTATCTAAGGTGAAGGAATTGTTCCTCGAGCGTATGAAGGAGTTGCAATCTCTACCAGAAGAAGGCCTCCGCAACCTCACTTCTCTTCGATACTTGTCGATTCGAGATTGTCGAAGATTAACATCTCTGCCTCCTGCAATACGAAACCTCGCCTCTCTACGACAATTAGTCATCGTTGGGTGTACACGATTAGCATCTCTGCCTCCTGCATTGCGAGACCTCACCTCGTTACGAAGATTGGACATTGAGTGGTGTACCCTGTTGAGAGAAAGATGCAGAAGAGGGGAGGGTAAAGATTGGCCCAACATTTCCCACATCCCTGTGATATATCTGAACGGAGAGGCGCTCCAGGGTTCAGGTTGGCCAATCTACACTACTACTGCATTTTATTTTTCTTGTTTTTTTTTTATAAAAGTGATCTCATTTGATATCTTTGTGATGTCGTAGATTTACTTCCATACTATCAGTGGTCGAGCTGAGGAAGAGGAGCAGACTGAGGCTGCTGCAACAGTGGACAGTCGTCGTCATCCACACAGATATCTTTGCTTTCAACAGACTGCCTGCAACCATGGCTAAGTTACCATTACTGTTGTGTACTAATTCCGCCAGGACTCGTGGTTGCTGCTTCGTGCAGCAATAGGAAGAATTCATCTGCAGTGGTTTGTAATTGACAGAATCTCTAAAGCCGTTAGAGACTTAGAGTTTTTACGGAAATGGCTTAATTTGTCAAACATGTTTCTCAGAAATCTGTACATTTTGTGTATTTTTCAGAAATTGTTTATGATTGTCACAACTCACAAAGTCAATAGTTATGACTAATTATTAGTAATTCATTAGGCTTGACTAATAAAAAAGAAGGCGGGAAATATTTGGCTAATAATTAGTCTTTATCCTTTTCTTTTTAACCGAAGCATAAAAATATTTGACTATGTATCACGCGATAAAACGATATATCTCGAATCCTGGACGATATTCAAATGAAATGACGAGAAGGAGCGAGTGAAAGTTCGAAACGAATGTTTTTTCTTAAAACCAAAATCATAACGTGATAAATTGACGAGATTGTAAAACTATCGATACATCACGAGTCCGGATTTATTGACTTTTTGAGTTTATATTGACTCTGATCTAAAAAGGGTTAATACTTTAAACTGGTCCGAACTATATCTAAATAGTCTACTTTGGCCCTTGATTTTAGAAATGGCTATCCTGAACTCAATTATACACCATATAATCTAGCTTGGCCTAACGCATGTTTTGTCCGTCAATTTGAACTATCAACACTATTGACTGGCGATCAACGCTCCAGCTCATTGCCACATTAAACCACAAATAAAAAAAAATGAAATTTTAAATTATTTCATTTTTCGTTTATGATAACATTTATGACGGTCAACGCTCAAGCTTATAACCATGTTTAACAACAAATAAAAAAAATATGAAATTTCATATTTCGTTTAGGATAATAAAATAAATATTGGTGATGAAAAAAAAAGGAAGAAGAATTCGTGGGTCTTTTAAATCGAGCAAAGTAAACATGATGCCGGACAAAAACCTTCGGCCGTGGATCGTTAGTGGTGCGGCGGCGAATGCGAGCTCCCGGAGAGGCGGAGACTGTCTAGGAACAACGGAAACTCTGAAGCAAAAGAAACGCCATCACTCGAAGCTTCGATTTTCTTCGTACTAGCAGCATTGCTTTCTTCTTGATTATCCTATCGCTCTTCCCAAAAGAGAGCTTGTTCGACGCTGGGGTTTTCACTTTTTCTGCTACATATTTCTCCTTGTTTCTAGGAATTGCACAATATGGCTCACCATCACTTGTTTTTGCGCTCTCTCTGTACCTTCGTTTCCGAGGCCTGATTTCAGAGCTGTTGTGGATAATTTCAGATAGAGAAAGGTGGGTTGACAGTCTGACGCCTTCCTACCAAGTTACAGGTGCAACAGGAACCATATTTAAGGTCAGTGAGCATTTGTGTTAGGTAGCTATTGTTACCCTTTTTTCTCCCCTCTTTGCCTTCATTTCTTGATGATAGAGAACGGTTGCAATTTTGGGTATCCAAGTATAGAGTTGATCATCTTTTATGTGCTATGATGCTTGAACATCGAAACCATTTTGACTTGTCTTGTGAACATCGAAACCATAAGCAAGCATCTCTTTTTGAATCTAGTAAAAGAAGGAACAGTAGCTTCTGGTAATTTCTCTTTGGGTAGAGGGGATAAAGATTGACGGGAGCAAGGAATTGATAAGGTAGGGCATAGTCTTAATTATATAATTGGAATTTGCATCGCTGGTTGGACCCAGAAGTTTTAATTCTGTGGAAGCTCAGTCTTTATGACTCTCTTGTTTGCTCTTGCTTTGCTACTTACCCTGCTTCCCCCTTGACTCTTGGTTAGATTTTCCTTGCTCTCTGATTTGAGGTTGTTCTCTCTCCCCAGCTTTCCCCCCTAACATGGCTGCTGAAACCATTCTGATCCCTGTTGCAAAACAAATCATTGCCAAAGCAGCCGACTTGGCCTTGGAGCAGCTTGGGCTCATTTGGAATTTCAAACCCGAGCTCTGGAAACTCAAGGCCACCGTCTCCACCATCCAGGCCGTGCTCCGTGATGCCGAAGAGAAGCAGTCGCACAACCACCAAGTCAAACTCTGGCTAGATAAGCTCTCCGACGCGATGTATGATGCCGATGATCTGCTTGATGATGTGTCCACCGAGGCTCGTCGGAAGGCCATGACTGCAACAACTACTAATTGTTGGAGTCTGGTATGCTTTCTGTTCTCTTCACTTCCTGAACAGTTGGTGTATGATCTTAAGATGGCTCATGCTATCAAGGCCATTAGGGAGAAGCTTGATGATATATCGAAAGACAAGGATACCTTCCATCTGGAAGTAGTTCATAGTACTGAGGAGGACGAAGCCCTTCATTCCCGAGAGACGGATTCCTGCCCACCCACTATTGTTGTTGGGAGGGAAGATGATAAGAAGAATATCATTCACCTGCTACTACTGCTGAATTCCAACTCTGAAGTCAACAACATTTCGTTCGTCCCCATTGTTGGGATGGGTGGGTTGGGGAAGACTACTCTTGCTCAACTCGTATTCGATGATGATGAAGTTACCGCGCACTTTGACATCAAAGCTTGGGTCTATGTTTCTCAAAGTTTTGATGTCAAAGCGATTCTCGGAAGGATGCTACGATCGATAGACCGTCAAAATCAGGCAGGTCCCGAGTTAGATGATTTGCAAGCTCAACTCAGAGAAAAAATCCAAGGCAAGAGGTTTTTGTTTGTGTTGGATGATGTTTGGGAAGAGAGAGTTGTAAGGTGGGAAATTTTAGGAAAATATTTGACTGTTGGCGCCATCGGCAGTAAGGTGCTGGTGACTACTCGATCCTCTAAGGTGGCCGAGGTTGGTGGCCGAGCTCTAAAGTCGAGAACAAGTACCAGCATCGTGGAATCTTATCACTTGAAAGGTTTGTCAGAAGAAGAGTCCTGGAATTTATTACTGACAAAGGCCCTCCCTAGAAAAATTCCACAAAATCCATATGTTGAAGAAGTTGGAAGGGAGATACTAAGGAAATATGGTGGAGTTCCTCTTGCTGTAAATACCATAGCTGGTATGTTAATGAGTTCGAAAAATCCCGAAATCGATTGGCCATCATTTCTGCACAAGGGACTTTCTGAAGAAGAAAATCCTACCATATCAGCTCTTAAACTAAGTTTCAGTCATCTTCCTTCTCATATGAAGCATTGCTTTGCTTACTGCAAACTATATCAGAAAGGTTATGAATTTCATGTTAAATCATTGGTTCAGTGTTGGGTGGCACAAGGGTACATTGAGTCTGAAATTAAAGGCTTAGACTGCTTCATAATGCTATGGTGGAGGTCATTCTTCCAGGAGGTGGAGATGGATGAGCTGGGGAATATGCTAACATGCAAAATGCATGATTTGATGCACGACTTGGCCGATTCGGTAGCTGGAGATAAGATCATTAGAAGTTTAAGTTCCACTGCTCTAATAAATATTCCTTCAAAGACTCGTCACTTGGCAATATACGAAGATGATGACAATGACGCGGGAGAAGAAGCTGATGCTGCTGTTGCTGATGAGTTGGAAAATGCTAGTAAGGTGCGGACTTTGGTATGCCATAAACCTCTTTCAAAACAAGAGTTTGAAATAGTCATCTGCAAATTCATACGCTTGCGAGTGTTGATTGTGTTTGAAGATAGATCAGATGCTTCAACACTATTGCACTTTGTTGGTAAGCTGAAGCATTTAAGATATCTTGTCATTCATTGCCATGGAATGTGTAAACGCAAGACTTGTGTTGCTCTTATTGAAACAAAGTATTTATAGTACATCAGTAACAGAGGCTAGCTATAGATGTGGAACAGAAAGAGTGGAAGCAGGAACAGAATAAAGTATCCAACGTTCTACTCCTAACAACTTAACAGTAAGTGAGAAACGTAAGGGCCAAGTCCCTTATCACGCCCCCGCAAGTTGAGGCTCGGTGAGGCGAAACTTGGAGCAGAATTTGGTGAAGCTGGGACGTGGCAATGGCTTAGTGAGTACATCGGCGATCTGATCCGGGGCTGGTAAATAATGTACACGGAGCTGCCCTTTGCTTACTTGATCACGAACAAAATGGAACTCGATTTCCATATGCTTTGAGCGATTGTGAAACACCGGATTATGAGCAAGGAATGTGGCACCAAGGTTGTCACACCATAATGCTGGTGCAGTAGGAATCAGCTGACCCATTTCATGAAGTAAGGTCCGTAACCACAAGACCTCAGAGGCGAGAGTAGCAAGAGCGCGATACTCGCACTCGGTGGAGGAACGAGCGACGGATTTCTGTTTGCGGGTGGACCATGAGACCAAGTTCGTACCGCAGAAGACAGCAAACCCTGTTATTGATTTTCGATCCTTGGGACAAGAAGCCCATGAAGCATCGGAGTAGCCATGGACATGTATGGAGGGTGAACTCGAGAAGACAAGGCCGCGATCAACAGTACCTCGGAGATAGCGGAGAATGCGCTTGACAGCAGCCCAATGGTTGTCGGTTGGTGAGTGCTGAAACTGTGATACATGGTTAACAGCAAAGGAGATGTCGGGCCGGGTGAAGCTGAGGTATTGCAGGCCACCAACAATGCTGCGATACAAGGCTTGGTCAGCGAACAGGGGAGATGAATCCATGGCAGAGTGCTGAATGATATCAACAGTTGAAGGAGTGGATATGGCCTTGGCATTAGACATATGAGCACGCTCTAGGAGATCCAGAACGAACTTCCGCTGACTGAGGATAAGACCATTGGGTGTGCGATGTACCTCTAGGCCGAGGAAATATGAAAGAGGCCCCAACTCTCGCAAGGCAAAGTTATCATGGAGAAATTTGAACAGCTGCTGGATGAGAGCAGGAGCATTACCGGTGATGACAATGTCGTCAACATAGACTAACATGTACAGCCGAGTGGAACCAGTCTTGTAGATGAACAGGGATGGATCAGTGCGAGAAACCGAGAAGCCAAAACGGGTGAGAGCAGCCGCCAAACAGTGAAACCAGGTTCGGGGGGCTTGGCGGAGACCGTAAATCGACTTCTTAAGTCGACAAACATGATCCGGCTTGTCTGGATCAACAAAGCCAGGAGGCTGCTGCATATAAACTGTCTCCTGCAACTCACCATGTAAAAATGCGTTAGCAATGTCGATTTGGTGAAGGGGCCAGCCCTGTGTGACTGCCAGACCGAGGACAAGCCGGAGAGTAGCTGGCTTGAGGACCGGGCTGTATGTGTGTTGAAAATCCAGGCCCGGGATTTGCTCAAAGCCGCGAGCAACGAGGCGTGCACGACGCCGATCAAGCTTGCCGTCGGGGAGAAGTTTAGTACGGTATACCCATTTGTTGGATAAAACATTGCAATTGGGCGGCCGCGGGACCAGCTCCCAAGTTTGATTGCGAAGCTGAGCATTCACCTCATCGGCCATGGCCGAGCGCCAGGGAGGAAGTTTGAGGGCCTGAGTCACCGTGGTGGGAGTGTCATCGACGTGGAGGTGGGAGACTAGGCTTCGGGGTTTAAGGTGGCCTGTTTGAAGACGAGTGACCATGGGATGCATAGAGCTGGTAGGGTGTACAATGGGAAGGGGTCGTGGGGAAGTATTGAAGGGCGGTCGGTTAAGTATAGGGCGACGGGGCGGGAGTGGGGTGGGACGAGGAGCTGGGGAAGCGGGTGAATTGGGCAAAGGGTCTGGAGCGAGCGGTGTAGGACGAGGGAGGGTTGAGCTAGAAGAGGGACGACGGCGGTGATATTGAAGAAGGGGTTTTGAGGATTGGGGAATTAGGGAGGAAGCTGGGGACACGGGTTTGGAGGAAGGAGGGAGAGCAGTGACAGGTGGGGTTGATTTTGGTTGAGGGGTGGCAGGGTGGGTGCGACGGCGGTGATATTGAAGCAGGGGCGGTGGGGATTTGGGTAGCGGCGGGGGAGTGGGGGGAACAGTGGACGCAGCCGAGGGAGACGTGGAGGTGGGCTGAGGCTGATCGGCAGAAGGCTCGGGGGTGGGGAATGGGCCGGGTAATGGGTGAGGGTGGTGGAGAGCAGTGGGCTGAGGGATGGGCTGGGCCGTGGTCTCAATGGAAGGAGAGGGTGATGGGGAGGTGGGCTGTGGTAATGTACCAGGTGGAGGCGGAAGTAAAATGGAAGTGGGCTGGGCAGGAGATGGAGAAGTTAAAGGTGGTGAAGTTGAGGGCAATTCAGCAAAGGGGAAACGGGATTCATCAAACAGAACGTGGCGACTGACGTAGATACGACCGGTGGGAATATGAAGGCAACGGTAACCCTTGTGAAGTTTGCTGTAGCCAAGAAAAACACATGGAACAGAACGAGGAGCAAGTTTGTTTGAGGCGATGGGGCGAAGCCATGGATAACAGAGACAACCAAAGACACGAAGACTAGAAATATCAGGAGAGCGTTGAAAGAGAAAATGAAAGGGAGAATCATTGTGCAGAAGAGGTGTAGGAGTGCGATTAATAAGATAGCAAGCAGTGTCAAAGGCGAGAGACCAGTATTTTTGTGGAACATGAGAGTGATGTAAGAGAGCAAGGCCGTTATTAACGATGTGTCGATGTTTACGTTCGGCACAGCCGTTCTGCTCCGGAGTATAAGGACAGGAGGATCGATGAGCAATACCATGGTGAGCGAGATATGTAGAGAGAGCTTGATATTCGCCGCCCCAATCAGATTGAAAGGTTTTGATGGGAAGCCCAAAAAATTTTTCGACCAATTGACGGAACTGAATGAAGACACTAAGCAATTGAGATTTATAACGAATGAAATAAATCCATGAGAATTTGCTATAATGATCATAAAACAAAATGTAATAGGATTGCTCATCATAAGATAAAACCGGAGCGGGGCCCCATACATCACTACAAACGAGTTCGAGTGGAGCGGTAGCCTGGAAAGTGGAGGATGAAAAAGGGAGCTTATGAATTTTACTAACTGCACAACCATGACACAACGAGGGAGGAGAGGAGACAAATTTTATTTGATGCTGATGAAGAGCATGTTTAACGGCTCGTTCATGAGCATGCCCAAGACGACGATGCCAGATGTCAAAAGAGGCGGCACAGGCAATTGGAGAGAGTTGGCGAGAAATATGCAGTGGAAGAGAGTAGAGGCCGTTCACTGCATAACCGCGATGAAGTTCATGCCCCGTGCGTCGATCCTTGATAAGAAAAAGAGAATCAAAAAATTCAATAGAGATAGGATTAGATCGAGTGAGAGAACTGATTGAGAGTAGATTGTAAGGAGCATGAGGAACATGAAGAATGTTAGTCAAAGAAATGGGAGCAGTGGACAACGAGGAAGAAGAAGAGCCGATACGAGAAATGGGAAGAGAGTTACCATTGCCAAAGGTGACCTGATCAGTGCCATTATATTCTGAATGATGGGCTAGGTTGTCTAAATCCGAAGTAAGGTGATGGTTTGTACCAGAATCGAGGAGCCACTGTTGCGGATTAAAAGAAGGTGCAGGAGAGGAGGTGTACATGGCATGTGGGCTGTAATTAGAAGAGGAGGCACGTGGGCTGTAATGAGAAGAGGAGGACTGGGCCGAACGGGTTGGTTGAGGCAGATTTGGGCTTGGACAGTTTGGTTTAATGTGGCCACGTCCACCACAATTGTGACAAACCACCTGAGCATTGTTGGGCCGAGGCCCAAGAACTCCTCCAGCTGAGCCCGACCTGCCAACAGAAGGAGAAAACACAGAGGGGTTAGGATAAAAAGGGCGGCCGCCACGGGGGTAGCTGCGTCCTCGCCCACGCCCTCGGCCACGATATCCGCCGGCGGAGGAATAAAAGGCAGCAGGCGAAGGCGAATCCGACTGGGAGGCGTAGCGCTGGATCTGTAATTCTTCGGAGAGAAGAAGCGAATGGAGGTCTTCGAAGCTGATGGGTGCCATACGAGATTCTATATGGCGGACGAACGGACGGTAATCCTCGCCGAGTCCGTCGAGAATCCAGCCCGTCAAGTCGTCGTTGGGAACTGGAGAACCCAGAGCAGCTAGTTGGTCAGCCTTGGCTTTGGCGGTCTGGAGGTAATCATGAATGGAGGAGTCGCCGCGGCGGATGTGCTGAAGAGTCTTTGTGAGCTGCCGAATTTGAACGTGTGAGCCAGAGGCATAAATGGTAGCCAAGGCTGTCCACGCTTCAAACGCAGTAGCCTTATTGATTACATTCGGCAGCACAGCTTCGGAAAGGGAGAGGTTTATCCAGGTGAGCACGTACTGATCCCGATCATACCAAGTCCAATAGGCAGGATTTGGTTGACCGTCGAGAATTGGAGGTGGAGCAGAGAGTGAGCCATCGACATGGCCCATCAAATGATAGCAGCGAAGGAGAGGAGTGATTTGAGCGTGCCATAAGAGGTAATTGGATGGCGTAAGTTTGATGGTCAATTGAAGATTGGCAGGAAGAGACAACGTAGACACTGGCAGTGAAGAAGATCCAGTGACAGCAGCAGTAGAAGAAACAGAGGATGGTTCTGTGCCCATCGTGTGAAGGAAGAGAAGAAGAAATAGACAGGGAGAAGAGAAAAGAAAAGGGATTGACTCGTTAGAGTTCTATAAGCTCTGATACCATGTAAACGCAAGACTTGTGTTGCTCTTATTGAAACAAAGTATTTATAGTACATCAGTAACAGAGGCTAGCTATAGATGTGGAACAGAAAGAGTGGAAGCAGGAACAGAATAAAGTATCCAACGTTCTACTCCTAACAACTTAACAGTAAGTGAGAAACGTAAGGGCCAAGTCCCTTATCAGAATGGAGATGCTTCCAGATCCCGTTACTAACCTGCTTAATCTACAAGTGCTTGTGCTCAAATATTCCAGATCATTAAAAGAACTACCAAGGTATATTAAGAAGCTTGTTAATTTGAAGCATCTTGTTTTCGACGAAAATATGGACCTTTTGACCCATATGCCAAAAGGGATTGGGGAGTTGAAGTCCCTCCAAACACTGCCAACTTTTATGGTGGGCAAGAGTAGCAGTAGTAGTAATAACAAGACGGTCGGGGCTGGGTTGGATGAGTTGAAAGGATTGAATGCATTGCGTGGAGAGTTGAACATAAAAAACTTGGTAAATGCTGAGTTTCCAAGCACAGACGTTTATGTCCTGAAGAAGAAGCTACATCTTCAGTCCCTTATTTTAGATTGGAGCCCTCAACGTTATGTAAGTGATGATGATGACAATGTTAGATCTACATCTACTCATGCTGAAGGGATATTGGAAATGCTCTGGCCACATCCTAATCTGAAAAAATTGATGATACGTGGTGATTATTATGGACTGTTGGAGCTCCCCAACTGGTTACCCAACTGGTTATCTAGCCTCGTGAACCTGGTTGAGTTCTCACTAATAGATTGCCTGCAATCCGAGCACCTTCCGCCATTACATCAGCTGTGGTGTTTGAAGAAACTAAAAATTGACAACTGTCCAGAACTGAAGGGCATCAATAATGATGCTGACAGGGGTGATCATTGTGATCCTTCTCCGAACAGCTCAACTACAGAGGAAAAGGATGACGAATTGCCCCACTTTCACTGTCTTGCCTACCTATCCCTTCAGAATTGCCCAAAGCTAACTCTGATGCCCACTTTCCCATCTATTGAGGGTGAGTTAAGGTTGGTCTCAACGAGCTTAAAACCACTAGTGAGGACGATGAAGATGAGGAGAGGAGGACGACAAGTTGTTCATTCAGATGAATACACCAATTCTGCATTTGAGGAATATGATGATGCAGATACTGCTCTTCTTCCACGTCCTTCATCTCACTTGGCCCTCCCACTGTCAAAGTTGACCGACTTGACCTTGAACGGAATCGATGATGATCTTGAGTTGCTACCTGGCGCAGATTTTAGCAGCAGTTGTCTAATCTCTCTTCAACAGTTATGTGTTTGGAGCTGTTCACATGGTCTGAAGCTACCTAGTTCGCTGTGCTCCAGTACAAGCCTGACGATAATAACGATAGGTTGGTGTGATAGGTTAGAGTACCTGCCACCCTTACATGAACTCGTATCTTTAAGGGAGCTATTTATTGAGGGTTGTCCGTCGTTGAAGGGATGTTGGTGGAAGAAGAAGGGGAATCATGATCATAGTGACCCTTTAATGGAGGAAGAGGATGGCGAGGAGGCGGACGAGGAAGAGTGGCCCCATTTCCGTTGTCTTTCGAGCTTGAAAATAAAAGACTGCCCAAACCTGACTCAGATGCCCCTGTTCCCGAACCTTGAAGTTGAGTTGAAGCTATGGAGAACCAGCACAGAGGCACTAGTGCGAACAATGAAGATGAAAGTAGCGACCACAAATCATCATGATTCTCAGAAACATACTTCTTCAGCTGCAACAATGACGAACTCCTATTATTCTTCTTCTTCCTCGTCGTCTTGCACGGCCCTTCTCACTCCTCCGCTCTCTAACTTGACAAAGTTGTCTATCCGGGGAATCGATGAGCTGCATTATATTCCCGAAGATGGCCTCCGCCACCTCACCTCTCTGCAAGACTTTGTGATTAAGAACTGTTCAAGTTTAGCATCGCTGCCTCCAGCAATGCACTGCCTCACCTCTCTACAGACGCTGTACATTCGGAGGTGTCCGCAGTTGGCAGAGCGATGCAGGAAGGAGGAGGGTGAAGATTGGCCCAACATCTCCCACATTCCCAACATACTACTGGACGGAGAGGCTCTCCAGGATTATTCAGGTTTGGGTTCCTTAAAAATGCAATATCTTTGCAACAAATTTAGCTAGCTAGCTGATTTTCCCACTTCTTGACATGTTGAATCTTTGCTGACAAGCCTCTTCTTCTTCCATGGTATGTAGAAGAGGACAGCGACGATTAATGCTCTACGAAGATCAATGCTCTGCCACACCCTAATCTGAAGAAATTGACGATAGATGGAAAGAATGCTTATGAAGGTATAAAGCTTCCTAGCTGGTTGTCTACCCTCGTGAATTTGGTTGAGTTCTCATTAATTGATTGCATGCGATGGGAGTACCTCCCTGCTCAATTGCATCATATGCCGAAGTTAAAGAAGCTTATAATTATAAATTGTCCAATGTTGAAGGGCATCAATAATGATGGTGATTATTGTGACTCTTCTCCGGACAACTCAATAACAAGATTAAGTGCAGAGGAAGAAGAGGACAAGGAATGGCCGCAGTTTCAGTGTCTTGTCCACTTGTGCATTCGGCATTGTCCAAGGCTAACTCGGCTGCCCAAGTTCCCTACTGTTGAAGGTGACATGGAGTTATCATACGTGAAGAGCTTGGCACCACTTGCTCGAACTATGAAGATGAGGGGAGGAGGAGGAATAGGAGGGGTTGATACAACTGTTGGTCGTTCTTATTCTTCAGCCCTAGTCCACCCACTCTCCAAGTTGAGCAAGTTGACCTTAAAAGGCATTGGTGATGATCTTGAATCCCTTTCGCATCATGATTTGAGTAGTTGATTCGAGGTGCTGCTTCGTGCAGTAGGAAGAATTCATCGGCGGTGGCTTGCAAGATTCCACGTGATCTGGAAATTCAACATTTGGTAATATTCTTCTTCTTTCACTTCGCATTTCTCTATCTTTGAATCAATCAACTTGTTTGCAATCACATGATGATTGGGTTAATGTACATTAGTAATAGATAATCCCCACTTTGATAATGTTGTGTTGATAAATCTCGTTGGTTTCTGAGAATTGGGTTATCTCATCCATTTTCATTGGACATAAGTACTCTGTTTCTGCATGGAAGTAGTGTTTCTGAGCGTCTATTTTGGGTTGTATTTCAATGAAAGCAGTTTCTTCTAGTTTTTGCTTAAATTTTCCACTTGCATGCTTCAATCCTCTAAGCGTTTTTAGGACCAAGAACATGGTTCAATCTCTAGCATGCTTTCTTTTTTGAAAATTTGATCTTTGCAGAAAATTTCTGCAGGAGCTGGATCAAATATGACCGTGGATTCACCAGTTCCTTATAGAATAAAATGAAAGAAGAAGAGGATTGGGAGACCAGATTGAATTTTGCTTGCAGGGTTCTGACATATCTGACACCCCAATCCGCGAGAACAACAGTAATGGAAGCTTCAACTAATAGCCTTGTGCTTTTCATTATTCGTATCCTAGCTGAAAGGCGTACTCTACGTGCCATCAGGGGAATTGATTGGTTCCTTTCTTCTTCTCCAGTAGATTGCAACCTTCCTTGCTTAGCCAAGCTCCCCTGCATTTGCTATGTTTTTTTCCTCCTAACGAAACGCCTGAAACCATCGTGAACAAAAGTCCTTGGCTAGTTGGCCAGCTTTGGATTCAACCAGCTCCTGTGGAATTTCAAGCCTGAGATCCTGAAACTAGAGGACATCAACCCCATCAAGGCAGTGCTTCTCGACGCAGAGGAGAAGCAGTCCACAACAACCAAGTCAAACTCTGGCTCGAGTGGCTCTCTTGATGTTATGTGCAATGTTGATGATCTGCTTGACGATTTCTCGACTTGTGCTGCACAGCGGCAGCAAGCAGTGGCTCGCTAGGGGGTGGAGATGGGTATGGCTGCTCTCTGGTCTCTTCCCTTTCCAAGCCGTTGATGTATGACTTTCAGATGGCTCGTGGTATCAACTATCAAGTTAAACATCACGGAGACTTTCAATTTGGAAGTTCACACTGAGGACGAAGCTCTTACCTTTTATGGATTCTTGCCCACCCAGCTTCGTAATATCATTCACCTACTCTTGCTCAGGTCGTATGTGATGACGATCAAGTTAAAGATCACTTTGATGTCAAATTTTGGGTCTATGCTTTCACAAATGTCTATGAATATACTGCTCTCACTGATTTTAGATGCAACTCATTTAGTTGAACTCTAATGAAACGAATCACCTCTATTTGATGTTCTTGCTCTTTCCTTGATTGATGTTATTGATCTCATGTCACTGTACTTTCATGAAAATATTGTTTTTGGTGGGATATCTTCAGTCTGAAGCTAATCATCTCTACTAACTGAACTCAGAATTGTTTGGCATCCTGTGAAAGCCTGCTAGTTCTCAGAAGAAAAAAAACATCTACTCCCCCAGTCTACTTAGCCATCCTCAGAAGTTCCAGCAATCTTGCTGCCGCCTTGCATCAAAAAGAACAATCTCTGTGAGAGATCACAGAGAAAAAGGGCTCCTTCTCTTCCTTGAGAAACACTCTTGCGACTTGCAGTACATCTGAGCTTCTGTCACAGCTGGGGTGGAGAGTCTGGAGAACTCGACGGGAGAGTAATGGCGATCGTCTTTCCAGCGGTGGTTTTGGAAGTGTAAGCTGGAGGGAAAGTTGTTACGCAACTAATTTGGTAAAGTAAGAGAGAGAGAGAGAAGAGAGAGATAGGAAGAAAAGGGAGAGGAAATTGTATTATTCTCAACGTTTACTGAACCAGTGGGCCCAGCTCTACTTATACGATCCGTTTTGCTCATTACATCAACACTCCACTGCTCACTCTCTCATCCCCATTCTTTTATTTATTTACACTTAAGTCCCATCTGTTACAAGTCTCCCTCCTTCACTGAAGACTTGTCCTCAAGTCTGGAACTCAGGGTACTTGAGCTTGAACTCGTCCAAGAATTCCCAAGTAGCATCAGCAGCATCTTGATGGCTCCATTGGACAAGAACTTGAGTGGCAGCCTTGTTGTCACGAGCCACCACCTTCCTGGCCAAGATCTCCATGGGCTCCACCTTCAAACTTCCTTGATTGTCAAAATCGGGTAAGGCTGGTTGGACGAGAACTTGTGCACCTGCAGCCTTCTTAAGAAGAGAAACATGGGATACAGGATGGATAGAAGAACTCGGGGGAAGCTGTAGTCGGTAAGCCACAGCGCCAATCTTCTTGAGAATGAGGAAGGGTCCATAATATTTGGCAGCCAACTTCTGTGAAGTTCTCATGGCCACTGTCATCTGCCTATAGGGTCTCAATCTCAGGTACACCATATCTCCTTCTGCAAAGACTCGCTCAGTTCGATGGCGATCCGCCATCTGCTTTTGTCTGTTCTGGGCCATAGCGAGATTTTCCCTGATGACTCGAATCAAGTTCTGTTGCTGCTGCAATTTATCCGCAACTGCAGCTACAGAAGTGGAAAGTGGATTCCTGACTTCAAACTGAGAGGGAGGATAGCCATATAGTACCTCAAATGGAGTCAACTGTAGGCTGCTGTGATAGTTGGTGTTGTACCACCATTCAGCAAGAGGAAGCCAAGCACACCAACGCTGTGGAGAATGATGTACCATGCTCCTCAAGTAATCCTCCAAGCAACGGTTAAGTCGCTCTGTTTGACCATCTGTTTGGGGGTGATAAGCTGTCGAGAAATGGAGATCCACCCCTTGCAATTCGAACAATTTAGTCCAAAAGGAACTGGTAAACACAGCATCTCGATCTGACACTATGGTTTGAGGCATCCCATGAAGCTTAAAGATTCCCTCAAAGAAGACTTGTGCTACACTGCTGGCTGTGTAAGGCCTGGACAGGCTGAAGAAGTGTCCATATTTGGAGAACCTATCCACCACCACAAACACCACTTCCTTCCCTGCAGATTTAGGCAATCCATCGATAAAGTCCATTGAAACATGCTGCCAAGCTCTCTCTGGAATTGGCAAAGGCTGCAGTAATCCAGGATAGGGAACATTCTCTGTCTTGCACCGTTGACACACATCACAAACTCGCACAAACTCCTTAACCTGCTGCTTAAGACCAGGCCACCAAAAATAACGCTTCAGCCGCAAATATGTTGCCTGCACACCTGAATGTCCCCCAATTGGAGAATCATGAAACAATTTCAACAATTTCACTCTCATATCCCCCACAGAACCCACATACAGGGCTTCCTTGTGATAGAGTAAACCTTGCTTTACTGAATTAACCCGAGGCCCAACAAAAGGAATAGTTGCCTCCAACATCAAGGTCTGAACCTCTGTATCCCCCACATAGGTCAGCTCTAACTCACTCAACCAAGCTGGTAATACAGCCGAGATGGCATGACACTCAGCCTTGGTTTCCCCCACACCATGAAACTGAGGATGCCTGGACAAAGCATCCGCCACTCTATTGAATCTGCCTTGTCGGTATTTGATCTCAAAATCCAGGCCAAGCAACTTAACAAGTCCCTTCTTCTGAATGTGGGTGTGAATTTTCTGGCCAAGGAGGTGTTTCAGACTCTCGTGGTCAGTCAGAATAGTGAAAGTCCTACCTTCCAAGTAGTGGCGCCATTTGGTCACAGCCAATAACACCGCTAAATACTCCTTCTCATAAGCCGACAGCCCTTGTTGACGGAGTCCGAGTGCTTGACTATGGTAAGCAATAGGTCTGCCCCCTTGAGATAGGACAGCACCAATGCCCACATCACTAGCATCCGTTTCCAGCTGAAATGGAAGGGAAAAATCAGGCAATGTTAGCACAGGGGCTTGGGACATTGCTGTCTTGAGCAGGTTGAAGGCTCTATCAGCAGTAGCAGACCAAAGGAAGCTGTCTTTCTTGAGCAATTCAGTGAGAGGTCTGCTTATGGCGCCATAATCCTTCACGAACTTTCTGTAGTAACCAGTTAGGCCGAGGAACCCACGTAATTCCTTGACATTCTTGGGAACAGGCCACTTGACCATAACCTCCACCTTACTAGGATCAGTAGCCACACCCTGTTCATTGATGACGTGACCCAGGTAATCCACCTCTCTTTGAGCAAAGGAACACTTAGATGGTTTGGCAAACAGGGAATGTTTGCGAAGGATTTGAAGGGTTAGGGATAAATGCTGACAATGGGAAGTTTGGTCAGGGCTGTAAACAAGGATGTCATCGAAGAAAACGAGGATGAATTTACGAAGATAAGGGCCGAAAATCTTGTTCATAAGGGCTTGGAAAGTGGCTGGGGCATTGGTCAGCCCAAAGGGCATGACTTTGAACTCAAAGTGACCGTGGTGGGTGCGAAAAGCGGTTTTATACTGGTCATCTGGGTGCATTCTAACCTGATGGTAGCCAGAAAGAAGGTCAAGCTTGGTAAAATATTTGGCCCCACCCAATTCATCTAACAAATCATCTATGACTGGGATTGGGAATTTATTCTTAATGGTGATGGAATTTAGTTGACGGTAATCAATACAAAAACGCCAAGTACCGTCTTTTTTAAGGACTAAGAGGACAGGAGAAGCAAATGGGCTTCGGCTGGGTTGAATGAAATCAGCTGTCATCATCTCATCACACAGTTTCTCTACTTCTACTTTCTGGGGAAGAGGGTAACGATATGGTCTGAGGTTAACAGGGGAGGATCCAGGCTGTAATGGGATGGTATGGTCACAATCACGGGAAGGGGGAAGGGAGGTAGGCTTGCCAAAGACCTCTTTGTATTCCTCAAGGATAGGTTGCACAAAAGAGGGTGGAGAATTACCTGAAGGTGTGGTTGTAGTCATGGAGAAAATGTGGCCTGTCCAAGATGCCCCTTTCTTTTTGAAGTACCTCTGCAGACTCTTCCCAGACATGGTTTGGCATTTTCCAGCATCCTGAACCCCATACAGCTCCACCTCAACTCCATCCTTGTCAAATACCAGTTGCAGGTTCACAAAATCAAATTTTACTGGACTAATGGTGCGCAACCAGTCCAATCCCAACACCAAATCATTGGATCCTAATTGCAGAATTCTGACATCGAATTGGAATTGGAACTCCTGCATCGACCAAGTGAAATCCTTGCAGACTGAATTACTCATCAGCACAGTCCCATCAGCCAATTTAACCCGCAATGGAGCAGCTCCTTGCAAGGTACAACCTAACTCTGCTGCCTTCTGAGCATTGAGGAAGGTGTGGGTGCTGCCAGTGTCCACCAAAACCAGCAAGGATGCCTTCTTCACTTTCCCTTTAATGACCAAAGAGTTGGCAATAACACCACTGCTGAGCGCTTGCATAGTGACCTCGATCAATCCCTCATCCTGCTGGCCAATCTGTTCCACAGTATCTTCAAAAATGCTGTCGTCTTCATCACTCCAAGTCTCAGGTTCCACGATGTCACCTTCGGCAGCCTGCAATGCATTCAATTGCCGCTTGGCCTCACATACATGGCCATAGAAGTATCGATCCCCACACTTGTAGCAAGCCCCCTTGGTCATTGTTCCCTTGTTGCCATTACTGTTGACAGGTGGAGTAGATTTTACTGGAGCTGTTTTGGAAGGCTCCCACTTCTTCCCATTAGAACCCGAGGAAGAAGCACCAGGGGTGAATCCCCCATTTGGACGAGGCAGGGGCCCCCTGAGTTTCTTTCGACGAGCTTCGTTAGAAACTTCCTCCAGACGCGAGAGCTGAAAAGCATGAGCCAAGGAATGTGGCTGCCACATGGAAATCACAGGACGCAATTCTTCCTCCAAACCACTAATGTAACTTGAAATGAAATATTCCTCAGTCAAGGCTGGATTGTAGCGGATCATCTGTGACTTAAGCTCTTCAAATCTTTCCTGATAATCAAGCAGGGAACCTCGTTGACGAAGTTTGTTAAACTCGCCAACAATTCCTCCCAGGGACCAATCACTGAATCGATGGCCCAAGGCAGACACAAATTCCTCCCAAACTAACTCTACACGTCCAGTCTTCCATCCTTCGAACCAAATATCAGGACGACGCTCAAAGTAAATCGACGCAAGTTCCACTTTCTGATCCGCAGGAATTGCATAAATCGCAAACAGTTTCTCGCACTTGCGAGTCCATTCACGAGGATTATCGCCGTTGAAGGACGGAAAATCCAGGCGCGGCAAGGGAAACGGATTATTACCGAAATGATGCGGAGGAACGCGCTGATGCAGATGTGGAATTTGATCAGCAACGCGATTCCCCTGCGCCGGAGCTCGTTGCATCCCCGCGTCTGGCTCCAGTGGTCGACGCACCTGAGGAAATACCGGCGGAGGTAAGATGCCGCGGTCGTCATTCCGAGCCACCAGCGGAGCATCCGCCTCGGCAACGACGACCGGTGGCCGTTGTTGACCTAATTCGGCGAGTCGGCGAAGAACTTCGTCGAAGCGGCCGTCCAATCCATCAATCCGAGTGTTAAGCGTGGCCATCTGCAGTGAGTGACCGTCGGCCTTTGTGGACAAGTCATGGAGCTGTCCGGCGTGCGCGCGAAATGCTCGCCAGTCGTCGTCATCTGCTCATCCATGGCGTGCAAATGATCGCCGATTTGTTGAAGCTGAGTTTCAACGGCGATGGTACGGTTGGTGAACGTTGCGAGCTTCTCCTCCATTCTCGTCGTCGCCATCCGGTCGAGCGAAGGCTCTGATACCAAGTTGTCACAGCTGGGGTGGAGAGTCTGGAGAACTCGACGGGAGAGTAATGGCGATCGTCTTTCCAGCGGTGGTTTTGGAAGTGTAAGCTGGAGGGAAAGTTGTTACGCAACTAATTTGGTAAAGTAAGAGAGAGAGAGAGAAGAGAGAGATAGGAAGAAAAGGGAGAGGAAATTGTATTATTCTCAACGTTTACTGAACCAGTGGGCCCAACTCTACTTATACGATCCGTTTTGCTCATTACATCAACACTCCACTGCTCACTCTCTCATCCCCATTCTTTTATTTATTTACACTTAAGTCCCATCTGTTACAGCTTCTCTTTCTTTGCAAATTGCAATGACTGCAAAGAGTTCGTTCCGATTAAAATGTCCAGTTTAATCTTTAATGAGTGCTTCAATGGATATTTTAATAATACAGTGACCATTTTGAGCATTTACCCTGGAGAATTTGTTCGAACCGGGAAAGGAAAACATTTTTCTCCCGGGAATATATACGCAGAGAGAGAAGGGATGAGAAAGCCTATACGCAGAAACGCGAAACGAAGGGGAGCGACGAAAGAAAGAAGAACAGCAAAAACCCAGTACAGGAGCGCGGCGAACGGCGAAGATGGGCGTGACGAAGGAGCAAGTTGAAGCGACTTTGAAGTCAAAGCTCAGTCCTTTACATCTCGTAAGCCACCTCTCCTTTTGCCTTCCCTTTCCGTCCTCTACTGCGGTTTATGAGTCAATTTAGGTCCGTTGTGAAATGCCCTTTGTTGGACAAGTCGGTCCAGTTTGTTTTATAGCAGTAGTTTCATGTTTTCTGATGCAGTCGTTTCCCTGGAAACATCATGAAGAAGGGTTGATGTAGGGTAGTCCGCTTGTTTCCATCTAGCTTCTGCTCTAGCTTGGATTGGAATTTGGAGGACTCTCTGACTTGTATAGGAGCTATGAAATTTTGTTTCTTTGATAAATGTTAAGGCTGTACAGTAGTTAGTTAGAACTTAGAACTGTGGTTCTGCAATGACTGTTGAATCATTAGACTGATGAGAGCTCTTGAAGTGTCCAGTGCTGTATTGAGTGATTCGAATGGGAAAGTACATCTCTTCACTAAAGCTCTTAGCTTTCTAGCAACGAAGGTCAATGGTGATCTCGATGCCTCATTCATTTGTACCCGCGTTCTTGACCCATAAGGATGGATCTTTCGCTTTTCACATACCCGATTTGCCTTAAAGTCGCTTCTCAACCCTAACTTCTACCAACTTTTGCTGGTTAATTACTAAGAGTGGGTTGGGATATTACAATGTTTCTATTTGGTGTATCGAGTCTCTGTTTATCCTGAACACGATGATATGGATACACGATATGTTTGCATCGTTTTCCCCCTTGTTTGATATCATGGAAAACTGGTGGTGTTGGTATAATATTCGCAAGTTCTGCAGGACCATGAAGGGTTTGTCTCTGAGGAATGACTTTCCTAAGCATAGAAACTTTATTTGAGTTTATCACACTAGGTCAAGTAAATGTGGTATCTTGCTTGGTTTAACATGGAAATAACATGATTATATCAAGATAGATGAACATGGTGCTATATAGGGACTTCTGGTAATGGCAGGCACAAACATTATCAACCAAAAATTGCCTCCTTTCTTCTTCTTCTTTTTCTGTAAGCAGAATAATGACATTCATCAACTAAACCAACTGTTTTCTGTTTTCTGTTTTCTTCTCTTCAGGATGTGAAGGATACATCTGGAGGGTAAGTCATGATCCGGACACATTCCTTCTATTTTAACTTAACTTGCAGCTTTTCATTCTGAATCTAAACTCTCTGTGATTGCTTCCAGATGTGGTGCAAGCTTTGAAGTTGAGATAGTCACCGACCAATTCGAGGGGAAGAGGCTGCTCGAGAGGCATAGATTGGTGAACACAGCCTTAGCAGAGGAGATGAAGGAGATTCATGCTCTCTCCATCAAGAAAGCCGCCACCCCTGAACAGTGGAAACAGCAGCAAGAGCCGGAGAAACCCACGTCCGCAGCTGCCTGAACAGTTTGAAATACATGATCATGTACTCTTATTACTACAGTGGAGTAATTTCAGCTTTTGTTGCTCTCAGTTTCTAACTGGGATAGTGACCTTTTTGGCAGCTGCCCTTTGAATAAGGATTTTGCATAACCTTGTACTTGCACATATAAGTGTGTGTTTCTGTGGATGAATTGTCAAGAGAAGGCCAGTTCAAGTTGGGAGTTACAATCTTTGGCTATGCCTTTCACCCTTCGGAAATTTAGATCCTTGAGCTGAAATTTTGGATGGAAGTGGTGAAATTTACTTTGGAGGGGAAAATAAATGTTAGCCACATGCTGAACAGAGGTGTCCCAACCACCAATCCTCTGATTTCCCTTTATCCACAACCTCTGGCAAGAGAAAATAAAGTGAAATTTCAGGACAGAATCTATATCTTGGATTTCCTGGCATGTGGCAAATATAAAAGACACATAGGCTGATATAATATTTTAGAGCAACGGTAGTATTGTATCAAACTCAACCTACTCATCAGCAAATAAGCAAAGACAAGCATTTGGCGGGTTCTTCCTTTAAGGAGCTCTTCCTTCTTCTTCTTCTTCTTCGTTGCTTGAGATGGCTACTTTGGTGAAGCTTGTGCAGCCACCATCTCTAATGGCTTTTACTCACCAGCCATGGCAGCAACACCAAGCCAAGTTTGGTGAGCTGCTAAAGTTCAGATTGGTAAACCCTATAAAAACTGCAGCACAAAGTTCATCATCTACATCCTCTTTGGAAGTTTCTCAAATCAAGGAGAATTTTTCTCAAGCACTCCAGGGTATGTAATCTCCATCTTAACCTTCCATTCTTTTTGCCATCTTCAGTCCTTCAGTGATTCAAATATGTAAATGTGGAAATCCTACCAATAAGGGATTAACAGAGGGGTATTTGGGACAACATCTGGGAAGAAGTCTGAGATTCAGGAGCTGGTGCAGCAGCTAGAATCCCAGAACCCAACTCCAGATCCCACTCTCAATCTTCACAAGGTAGATACTAAATGCTATCGATCAATTGCTTTCTTAGTCCCTATACTATACTGTTTTAGCAAATACCATCAATTTTTCAAATATGCAGTGCATGAGAGTCATGAAGAACATACTTACTAAACATTATTCTATTCTAACTGTAGCTAAGTTAGATGGAATTTTATATCAATAGACTAACGAGCACATTTTTGTTAAAACGGCTCGGTAATGGTTATCTATTTGTGGGGATTTTGAATCTTCGGGAAAGGTGGATGGATGTTGGAAGCTTATATACAGCACAATCAGCATAATGGGTGCAAAGAGAACAAAGCTAGGGTTGAGAGATTTCATCACCTTGGGTGACCTCTTCCAAATCATAGACGTAGCCGAGGTAGATACTCTGAAACACTAGTTCTTGACGTGATATCAGATTAGCTCAACGACGTGCCAAGTCGAAAGAGCTGATTTCTTTTTTTCTGTGTGTGTTTCGTTTCAACTGTGATTGTAGAGCAAAGCAGTGAATGTGATAAAGTTCAATGTGAAGGGACTGAACCTGTTGAATGGTCAGCTGGCAATTGTAGCCTCCTTCAACATTGATTCCAAATCAGTTATGAAAATGATCCCCCGTTTTCCACTCTCTTTGCATCACCTCTCCTTCCTCTGAAGGGCAACATTCTGATATAACCCTCTCTTTTTTTTTGTGTTGGTAGAGAGTTACAATTACATACAGAGAATCAACCATCACACCTGACCAGCTGATGAATGTGTTCCAGAAGAACTATGACCTTCTTCTCAACATCTTCAACCCCGAGGGGTGGCTCGAGCTCACGTATCCTTAACTTTCCTCACCATGAGAAACATAAAAAAAAGTTTACTTCTTTACTGAAAGTTAGAAAAGAAAGTGGTTTACTGTTACTTGTTCTGTGTGTTGGTGATGCAGTGGACATAAAGGGTTTTTTTACCTTAATCTTATGGGAACAGATATGTTGATGATGAGATGAGGATAGGAAGGGATCAAAAGGGTAATATCTTTGTCTTGGAGAGATCTGAAGAACAGATTTGTTTGTAACACTTAGTTTTTGCTTAGCAAAGTTGGATGCTGTTCATGGCTAATTTTTCAGAAGGTTATACAGACTATAGACACATAACTCATTGATGTTTACTCATTTGTATAGACATTTTTGTTATTCTATGGAATCAACGGAAGCTAATGTGACTGAGCTCCTACTGTATTGATGTTTAGAGACCAAAAATGTTAGTAAGGTTAGTTTTGGGTTTATGCATTTATCCGTTATCAACAACAGTGACTAACCTATTATTGCGGGTGACTGAACGATACAAAATCGTGCAAAGAACTAGTTTATTCCAATCAATTAAGATCGAACCATGATTTCACAATTGATTTACAGGGTAATCAATCATCATGTCACAATCACGTATTATGAGATGATCAACCATCATGTCACACTTATTCAAAGATTTTTCAGAATTCAAGTTTTGTCCGAACCCATATTTTCAAAGATTTTCAAATCGAACAAGTAAAACACAACTAAAATGGCTGGCAAACTAAGGGTGGACCGGCAGAACCCGGTCCTAACCCGAACTAGTTACCCGGGTCACGGTGGCGGAAGAAAAAGAAACAAGTACGAGATGCTGCCGAGATCCATTCCCCCGCCCGAAACTGCAAAACCTCAGTAAACCCTCCCATCGTTCCGCCCTCCAAAAACTCCGGCCACTGACCGTCGCCGATTCAAGCAATGATCACCAGAAGTCGACGACTGCTATCTTCTCTCCTCTCGTCGACATCAGTTCTCGCCAACGCGAAACCCACCTCGACCCCAATCCCATTCCCGCCATTTCAATCTTTGCAACTCCCCTCCTTCCACGGCGCCAATGTGGCATCTGGGTTTCCGGGCTCCCTTCGAAATTACAGCCTGTTGAGCTTGAACGACTTAAGGGAGAACATACCCAGGAAGCAGAAGACCAGAAAGGGGCGCGGGATTGGGTCAGGGAAGGGCAAGACTGCTGGGAGAGGTCATAAAGGACAGAAAGCTAGAGGGACTCACAAGTTCGGATTCGAAGGTGGGCAGACGCCGATGCGCCGCCGTCTCCCCAAGAGAGGGTTTAAGAACCCTTTTAGCCTCACTTTCCAGGTATTCCTTTGATTAATTGGTCAGTTTGTTTCTCTAGCTGCCCAATTTCATTTGTCCTTGAATAGCAGCAAGTTCTAGGATACAGAATGTTGGGTGGGACTAAGAAGTTTACTGGTTGCTCTTGACTTCAAATGCATGTTTTTGCTTCTTCTTCAAAGGAAAGAGGGCTTGAAAAGCTCACATTTTTAGCCCCAATTGATAAATATGGCTGCTTCATCAATTGGAAAATGAGAAATATTTTGGAAGGTTGCAATTTGTAGGGGTTATCAGCTCCATTGGGTTTTGTTTTGTCTGTGAATATGCCATCTGTTATGCTGCGAGTTGCATAAAAGGCTGCAGTTGGTAGGGTTTATCAGCAACATTGAGTTTGGTTTTGGCTGTGAAGTTTCAACCATTGATGGGTTTATATTGTGGTCGCATAAAGTTTTGATTTTGGCATTAATTAAATGTGGTCGCATAAAGTTATCGACTTCAAGTTTTGTTATTCCTGTTACTGTGTTATCAACTCTGTTCAAATTTTATCCGAGCACAAATTGCCCCTTCATCTCTGTTGTTACCTTAGCAGCTGAATTTCCATCCGTCAAATTAGAGAGAGGCGTGTCAGATGTGGTAGTTACTATGTATACTATCACTCTATCAGTGTAACCCTTGAATGAAGCCTTGAAAGATACTAAATATCAACTCCAGAGCTGTCCAACTTTTGCCAATTATTGCCGTCCTAGAGTCCTTTTTCATTCTCACTACTTTCCAGAAGATACAATGTCCCTCTTGTTGGTGCCTTGTACCTTTGGAGGAAGCTTGATTGCATTTCCCCTCAGTTTGCTAGTTGAGAAAAATGGTTATGTCTCCTGCTCATTACCATTGTTTGTTCACAAATTGGCCAAGTTCTTTCTTTGCATCACTGAATTGTCACCAATTGTAAGATCTAGAATTCTTACTTGATGTTATCAAATTTGTATGTCTGCCTCCAGTTCATAACTCTTACTTGTAGTTTGGTGACATTATTTCTACTCTTTTCTCCCAATTCAGTTATTTATCTTTTGGTTTCTATGTATTTTCTTTTGCAGCCATGTGGCCTGGGAAAGATTGCAAGGCTTATAAATGCTGGGAAGATAGATTCTCATGAACTGATCACAATGAAGACACTCAAGGTAATTGCAAATGTTTGCCTAACTCCCACTTTAGCCTACACGCATAAAATGTGCTGGAATCTGTGTTGATGGTTTGCAATTGTTATAATAGGATACTGGAGCCATAGGAAAGCAGATAGAAGACGGAGTAAGACTCATGGGACGTGGCTGTGAGCACATTGTATGGCCTATCCATATAGAGGTAAATCTCATTACGATGTTTTTCTTTTGTTTGTGTATGTACATTTAGGATGAACTGCTGTATATAGTTTAAATCGGTAAAACCTCTCGAGGCTTACGGTTAATCACAGGTTGCATTTGCTTGCAAACATCATGATGAATTTTACTGTAAGGAATTCACGTGCATATGGAACTTGTACTTAGCCTTGCTTCTTTTAGATTTGATCCTGAATTCCCTGGTTAGATAACTTGACTAGCTGCCAAGCTCAGAAGTTCTTGCTGCAGTCTGCTTGGAATAACTATCATGATAGTGGACCTTAATTGGCTGACATGTTTTAACAGCTCATTAGAGAGTCTAAGTGGCCTATTAATTTGTAACTTGGATGAGGTGACACAATGATCTATAAATTTTGGCAAAAAGATTCACAGAAATGGAGATGACTGTAATAGTTGCTTGATATGTATTCGAGAACTATCAAAATGGTTGTCATTATAACTGTTATAGTCACTGTATAATGTATTCACTGACCTAATTCCTTGAGTACTTGGGTTCTAAGTTCTCACCTTCATTGGTATAGATGCCTTACAGTGTGGAACTGAACTTCACTGCCGCCAACCTGTTTTTGCAGGTGTCAAGGGTGACCGTTAGAGCCAAGGCAGCCGTCGAAGCAGCTGGAGGATCGGTCCGACGGGTCCACTACAACAAGCTGGGGCTGCGAGCACTGCTGAAGCCAGAGTGGTTTGAGAAGAAGGGTAGGCTTCTGCCCAGACCAGCTAGACCTCCTCCAAAATTGAAGCACAAAGTCGATAGCATTGGCCGATTGCCCGCGCCAACCAAGCCAATCCCATTTTACGTTGAGGCGAACGAAAGTGACGAGAAGGTGGGGGGTGCAGAAGAATCTCCCCAGCTCACTGCTTGATCAACCATCTTTTTGGTTTCAGTTCCTTTTCTCCCCAGTTTTTTTGGTTAGGAGAGCTGTCGCTAGAAATAATAGCCATCAGTCACAAAAGCTGCAGTCTTTGATGACTCTGTCTGTGCCCTTGGCCCTTAGTGATAAGTGATAATCATCCTGGATGTTCTGCAGAAAAGGACCTCCAAAGCGTTTGTTTTGCTTCTCAACTTTCCTTTCATAAAAAGGACTTTCAGTTTTTCCATTACAAGTTACCAAATGGCAACACCTACCACGTTTTAGTAAGGTTTAACCGGTTCATACATCAAGATTATAGGACTAAGAATTTGTACATTGCCAATTTGAAATGGACTATATTGTTTGTTAAATCATTTATCATTCGAGACAATCAAATTATAACAACATACAAATTCGGGTGAGCCGGTTAAACCAAAGAAGATGATATATTTAACCCCTTTAGCCAAACCGAAATGGAAGGAAGACCCGACCCATTTATCACTCTTGATCTTCGTACTTGAGAAAGCAACCCCTCAGAAACTGTACTGTTGAGAGCAATGGCAAACACGGCGGCGGCGACGACGGATGAGAAACCCCCGATGCAGCAATCGGAGGAGAACCCACCACCTCCACATTCTGCCGAGAATCCGCATGTTTCCCAGTCCTCTGAAACCCTGACCCTGAATGTTGTCCCCGACTCACAAGACAGCGATTCAAATCAAGAAGATCTAACAAGCTCAGCGCCCATGATTTCGTTCTCGCCCACATCGGCCTCCTCTGCCCGCCGAATAGTCGGCGGCGGCGGCGGTTTGAAGGGGAAAAAGAGCAAGCGACTAATTGCGTCTAGGTTGAAGAAGATTCAGAAGAAGCTCGAGGCTCTCAACGAAAACCTCAAACCCATTCCATTCAAGCCCGCGAAAGATCTCGACTTTGATTCTCACGAGGAGCTTCTCAAGCGGCTTGGCCTGTGGGACTTCGTCAAGCTCCGGTTCGACGCCAACATTCGCTTTGATCTCGTGGCGCAGTTGATCGCCAGTTACGATCCGCAGCAGCGCGGTAGCTACGTCAACGAGGCTCGGGTCAAGGTCAGCCGTCCCGATTTGGCTCGCGCGCTCAAGCTGCCGATCAAGAAGGACAAGGTTTCGTCGTCGGAGACTTCCGCCGGGGAGGCGAAAGAGAGCGAAGAAGCGATTGCGTTCGTCGACGAATTGGTCTCGACTTGGATGCTGTTGCACGACGACGATACGTGGTTGATGCCGTTGGAGATTCACAATATGACTAGAATGATTAAAGATGGAAACTTTGAGAGATTGGATTGGGCTGGGTTGATTTGGTATATGGTTGAGAAGGAGTTGTCTGCTGCTCCGAATCTAGGTAACTGTTACTATGCCTCGCACTTACAGTGTTTGATTAAATCCCAGAAAGAAAATATGTTGAGGGAAGAAAAGGAGATTGATTTTAAGGAAGAGTTGATACAAGAGGAAGAAGAAGATGAAGATGAGGAGGTGGTTGTGAAAACCAGTGAGGAAGTGGATCGTGTCGCGGTGGTGGCTAAGGCTGAAGAGGGTAGCATTGAATTGAGCTTGGGAGGTATGGATAATGCTACTGCTGGGGAAGATGGTGGAGCTAAAGATAAATATGGTGGCAAGGACGATGTTGTGCCGCAACAAGAACAGGTGGCAATGGTGTTTGAGGAGAGTAAAGTGGTAGTTGAAGAAGAACATGGCCAGTGGTTGAATGGCAGTGTGAATGAGAATTTTCTACAGCATTATAGCCTTGTGAAAGCTGAAGATGGCATGGAATGTGAAGTGGAAGGAGATGATGATGCAATGGAAGAACCAGAGCAAGGGGAAGAGGCCGATGATGAGGAGTCGGTTGAAGAAATGGATTTCTACC